ACAGGCTACAAAAATCACTGTAATTTTATGTGTATAATTAAATATTTCAGATACTAATTGGCTTACAGAATCATGAAATTTTGTCACTTGCACCACATGACATCAGAGTGTGTCAACCATAAATACAGGTCACCCTATTCCTACTTTTGAAATTATATGGGTATACTAGTTTAAACATTTACAGATACTAATGGGCTTAGAGTCATCAGACTTCAACATCAGTTGCAAGTCCAATGAAAATGTTAATGACAATGAATTTATTCTCATGAACTGACATAAGTACAGTGTTGAGAAAGATTACAAGTATAGTTAAACATATGTGCATGCGTGAAAAAGAAAAAAGTACAAAGTAACAAAACTAACAATGAGCTAACCAGGAGAGCCAACTCTCTCAAAAATAATTTTTATAAATTTACACAGTTTTGTCAATTTAACTATTTTTTGTATTAAAAAGTTGATCAAACTTATACACATTTGGATGTGAATAGTAATATTTTGATAATAATAATAACCTTGAATTCAAAATAAGTGAATCATTACAATTAAATAAGTAATGAAATTCATCACCAATTTCATTTTTGGAACACAATTTACAAATTCGGTTTTCTCTTGGTACATTATGCCATCTTCCAACTTCTATTGGTAATTTATTATTACAAGTTCTAAACTTACAAAATATTTTCCAGTACTTAAAAGGCAGAGATACTAAATACTTTTCTAGACAAAAAGAAGTTTTGTATATTCTATAATTAAGACCTTTAGACGAGTTAAACATTTCACTATACCACTTCTGTTTAAACTGATCATACAGAGTGTTAAACACTATTTTCTTCAGCCATGATACATTTACAGGTTGACAAGTATGCCAAATATAAGAAAGTCCACATTCATTCAATATAGATTTGACAAAGTTACACCATGGATTATTGTAGTTCTTTAAAACACTTAACAAATTCGATGATAATTTATTCCTTTGTAAAAAAGATAGTTTACACCAAAAACTTATCATTCTAACCTTTATATTAATTGAAATAGGGTATCTACCTAATTCACCATATACCATAAAATTTGGTGTTGATGACTTTACATGCAAAATATGCTTACAAAATTTTAAGTGCAATTTTTCAATCAATGGTGACTGATTAAAACCCCACACTTCGCATCCATATAAAATTATAGGATTTACAATTTTGTCAAACATATCCAATGTGCATTCTATATTAAGGTTGTGTTTTCTACATTTTCCAATAACACTATACATAGCTTTTGTTGCTTTCTGAGATAATTCTTTGACATTTGTGTTAAATGAACCATTTTTACAAAAACTTACTCCTAAATATTTAAAATTATCTACGATTTCTAATGTTATTCCATTTAATGTAATTGGTTTTTCAATTCTTGGATTGCCCTTTCCAAAGATTACAATTTTAGTTTTATTGGTGTTAACTTTGAGCTGCCATTGTTTGCAATATTTGTTAAATACATCCAATTGGTATTGTAAGTCTTCTGGTGTTTCTGACAAAAGGATCGTGTCATCTGCGTATAGCAAAACAAACAATCGAAGATACAAATTAAACTCCGATTCTAATTTAGACGTTATAAATGATAAACCTTTTACATTATTTAAATTCATGAAATCTTCAAGGTCATTTAGATAGATGGCAAACAAAAATGGGGATAGGTTTTCCCCTTGTCTAACACCTACAGTACAAGGAAAGGGATCAGAGTACAGACCATTTGAGACTACTCTTGATTTAATATTTTTATACAGCTGTGTTATAAAATTAAAACATTTACCATCTATGTTATTTAATAAAACTTTATTCCAAAGACCTAAACGCCAGACAGAATCGAACGCTTTCTCAAAATCAATAAAGGCACAGTACAACCTTTTCCTATGATACTTAGATATTTCAATCAATGTATACAAAGTAAAAATGTGGTCCAAAGTAGAATAGTTTTTTCTAAAACCAGCTTGATTTTCTAAAATAAGGTGGACAGTATTTGCATAATAATTAAGTCTCTCATTCAGAATAGATGTAAACAATTTACCCAAACAGCTTATCAAAGTAATGGGTCTATAGTTTTTAGGATCTTTAGTGTCACCTTTGTTTTTATATAATGGAATAATATTTCCAAATGTCCACTGAGAAGGTATGATTCCTGAATCAAAAATCTTGTTAAATAATATTACATATAAGTTTGACATAGTATCTACAGTAGATTTTATATATTCATTAACAATGTTGTCATGTCCACTTGACTTATCATTTTTCAGAGCATGTATACATTTTGTAATTTCTTCGTGTGTGATTGGTTGATTTATGCTGTTATTAAGTTCTAAATTTGACAACAATTTTAGTTCATCTTCAGTCAAAACGTTTTCGCTTTCCCCCTCTACTCCAATGTTGCAACAATCTTTATAAAAATCATATAGTTTGGATAATTCTACATTACAGCATTTATTGTTTCCATTAGAGTTTAATATTTTCCAATAGTCTTTTGGGTTATATGATCTTAAATATTGTAATTTCCTTTTCATATCTGTCCTATGAAAATTTCGAGCAGATTTTAATTTTTGTTTAAACAACTTTTCCTTTTCATACAAATCTTCTTTAAAAATATTACCTCCAAATCGTTTAAACAGTTGTTGTGCTTTTTTAAAATTCCGTCTAGCAGATTTACAGTCTTTTGTGAACCATGGCTTTTTAAAGACACATTTTTTATTCCCCTGTGAAAAAGTGGCTTTTTTATAAACACCAAAAACTTCCTTAGCACTTCCAACTAAAACTTCACCAGCTTTTTCAACAATATTATCAATTAAATCTAATGAAACTTCATTACAGTTTAAAAGTTCTTCTTCTAAACCTTTAATGCAACTAACTTTATTTTCAACACAGTTTTGATAAGTCAATTTTTCATTATTATTCCACCTTTTAGCCTTTTCTGATTGGTCATTACAATTATATGGACTATTTTCTATATCTAAATTCATTGATTCAGGATGTATTCTTATTTTTAGTTCTATTGGATTATGCACATCTGAGTACAATGAAGAAAAAGCTAAAACAGACATTTCTGAAACTTGTTTGATAAAGTTAATATTTGCAATGCAGTAGTCTACTATACTACAGTTTTTGCAAGTAAATTCACCGTTTATATCAGTGTTACAACGTCCATTTAGAATGTAAATATTACAGTTTTTACATAAAGTTAACAGTTTTTTACCAAATTGGTTCAATGTTTTGTCTTTTGACTTTCTATCAACAGATAAACCATAATTTTCAAGTCTTGTTACATCACATGTATCACTAAGAAAAATATTTTCATCTATAATTATGTCATTTGAAAATAAATGATCATTGTTATGAGAATTAATGTTTTCAATATAATCCTTCTCCATAGCAACCCTACTATTAAAATCACCCATAAGACAAATGCTATCTAAACTATCAATTAGATTATTAGTTTCTTTTTCTATATCATCAAAAATATCTGTGGATGAAAAACGAGAATTTATAGGTGGGATATAAACAGTACCAATAATTACATCATTTTGAAAATTAAATGCTTTCCCCGATAGTTTTATCCATAGAACATGTTCACATTCATTCTCTATAACGGTAACATATTTAGAATAAATATCTCTAACATACACTACAATCCCACCTGATTTTTTCGATGACAATGAAAATCTATGTTTACAAAAGGCATTAAAGTTTTTAATTTCAATATCATCAGCATTGTCGGTTTTTGTTTCCGTTAAACATACAATATCATTGTTGTTTATAAATTCAATAAATTCGGGGTTTTGTAATTTCGAATTAAGTCCACAAACATTTAAACTAATAATTTTCAAATCGTTGAGAGAGTTTGCATTGTTTACGTTTTGTACATGTTGTAGTTCCTGTTTACACAGTTCTCCTTGGTTTTCCTAGTGCGCTTCCGCATATCTGAATTTTCTATGCGCTGTCGGCGGCGCGGCGCGGTTTTCAAATGCTGGGATTCGATCTCTCGAATGGTCGTTCTGAAATGGTACCAGTTGACCCTCCACGTAAAGCTTGTCGACGACTAGTGAAGCCCTTTTGCCCTGTCTTTTGGCAGCTTTGTATTGGGGGTATAATTGCTTACGTCGATCGTTAATTTCTTTCGGGAATTGTTCGTTAATTCCATATGGCTTGCCATTTAAGGATCCAGGGGCTGCTCGCCTGACTCTTTCTCGGTCCTTGTGCAGCACAAATTTGGCAATTATCGGTCGTGGTCGGGTTCCACCCTTCCTACCCATTCTATGCACCCGGTGGAAATCAATTTTGTCTGTGATATTCATCTCGGTCTTAATGAATTCTTTTATCAAATCCTCTGCGTCTTCTTCCTGAGTTTCTGCTATCCCTTCAAATATTAGGTTGTCCCTCATAGACCGTGTCTGTAGATCTAGGTGACGTTCTTTAAGGTCACACAAGTCTGACCGTACTGCCTCGAGTTCTTCACGCATCGCTTCATTTTCTTTCAATGTTGATGTCGACCTTTTGTCTATATCTTTCACTGTCCGTTCGATTTCCTTGACAGCCTTTTGTTGTTCGTCGTACTGCAGTGAGATGTGATTCATGCCCTTCTCAATGTCTTCAACTTTTACTTTCATGTTTTTCAATTCTTTCAGTTCTTGGTTTACATTGCTTACATTACGCTCAAGGTCATTTAACCTTTTATCTATTTGATCCAGGGTATTTAGCTTTGATGACACATATTCTAGCTTGTTACATATCACTGAAAGAGTATCGCGCATATCGCGCATAATGAAAAAGTAGGTCACTGTGACCTTTTGGTATTTCTGTACATTAAAATATTTCAGTTACTAATTGGCTTAAACACCCAATTTTATGTTAACGCCCCCAAAATCTACCTGATTTAAGATCAATAATTTACCGCCTGTCAATCATTAAAAAAACAATAGCTTCTGATTTGATTGACAGGCCAGCTACCCGTGCTACCTGATAGTTTGAGTTTGCGTGTTTTGAAAACGATTGCCTGGTCACGGGTCAAACACTTTCATGTAGCCGCCTTGTATACACGGGGGGTTAAAAAAAGAATCTTGGTAGAATTTTATTGCAAGAACAATTGAGAGTAGATAATTAAAACATGACTTCATAAATATTTGCTTTCAATCTCAACGGCTATATTGTATTTTAGGCGATATGTCGTCCAAGATATCTGCTGTAGAATTTAGAGTATTTACACCGGTCCGTGCACAGAAATGCCATTTGCCGATTAAAATTAGAGTATGATAAATAAGAAAAGATGTTTAGCACAAACGGCATGGCTAAAAAATTCCTTTATCCCTTGTTTTATCTATGTATATAGAAATACAATCTACACCGTGTTCCGTTGTAAATGAAATGTCAGTTGTAACTTTTAGTTCGAATTTCCTTACGTCTGTCAATACCCAATATTTAAAAAGTGAATACATAAAACCAAAGATCAATTCTTAAAAGTATAAAAAAAATCTTGCAAACAATAAAAAAATTCAAACACACGAACACCCGGAAATGGTGAATATTTTCGACACTATTAATGGTCAGAACGTAGGTAATATTCCTATATCGCGGTACATGCAAATGTATATGTTCACATGACGGTGAATTGATCATATTTTATTGACAATTAAAGCCAAAAGGATAAGACACAAGCTCTACAACAACTTAGATAGTCTTCTCCTTATACAAAATTTTATAATATTGCCAAAATAAAGAACAATTATTTTCAATAACAATTAGTAGTGTCAAAGACAGTAAATTCTTGATACCAGAACACAATACTATATATGCAAGAAATTAAGATTTTTCAGAGAATCGACCACACTCTTTTAAAAAGGTATGAATAACTTTAAAAATTTCTACATTTTGTTGATCAGAGAATGAATCAACACATGACGGATAGACCTATGAATGGAATATTTTATTATTTTTTAATTTAGATATGTACACAAGTTTAATCAAAAAAGATATTTACTTTGTAGTTTTACTCTCGACTGTGTTTATTTCCTTAATTTTACATTTTTTTCAAAATATAAAAACGATATTTCTTTATAACTTTTTTTTCTTCATTAGATATCGCTGAAAGTATAAATAAATAAATTTGATTATATTGAAATATTTCAATTAATTCAAGTAGTTTCACTCAAATTTAGACACGAAACACGGAATGTTGACCCTGATCACCAGACACAGACTTCCTGTGTAATGCTACGTGTATATAGATTTTTGACATCTTGGGTATTTGGGGTCTCCAGGTAAATAACACTACTGTAACTTGGACCACTCCCCCTCCTCAGGTAACCGTACGGTAAAAAAATTGGGTCTTTAAAATCGTCAAACCCTGTGAGCTTTTGCGTATTGAATCCCTGGAATGTGTCAACAAAGAGGTGGGTCAATGTAGCCTTTAGAATATCTTTTGAAATAATGTGTAGAATTAATTTTCATAGAATGCAAACTTAATCGGGGACCATTTTCATATATATTTCATTAAAATATGTGAAAATTAATAGTCCCTCTTGAAGTTTGTGCTCTACAAAAACTAATGATAACACTAAACAAAATTTATGCTTTTTTTTCCAAAACAAGAAAATTTCAAAGAAAATAGTCCAATGTATAGGCTACAAAAAGTATACTGTATTTCCTGAAATGTTTCAAATACTGTTATTGACTATCCAACAACTCTTTTCAAAAATAAATGGGAATATCAATACTTTGAGACAGTGACAAAAGTCCTATCAAAATTAAAATTTGTTAATTTATTTTGTACAATATACCGGTATATACATTTGTACAACATACTGTATACACATTTGTTCTCAAGAGATTTACAAAATTTCACTTTTCTAAGGGCAGGGATTTTGTGTCTTAACCGTGCATATAAGGCTCTTTTGATCAAATTTACTTTTTCTCTAATTCTTGAAAATTCTGATATTTTGCAACTGATTACTCCCTCCCCCACCCCCAAGAGATGACAAACTCATTATTATTAGCCATATGAAAAGTTTGTATTATTTAAATATGAAACAAATATAAAATATATAAAATTTCAAATTTTATAAATTAAAATAGAAAGAAGATGCATATAAAAAAAACAATAAATTAATATAATATCTTTGAATTCTGAACATAAATTCAATATACATGAACAAAAAACAAAATTTGTGATGTATGTGCTCCTTTAAAGATGAAATGTACAAGTAAAATATACTAATATTTCAGAAGACAATGAAATTGAAAAAAATGAGGCTACAAGGCTTAGGAAATCTCCTACATTTAGACGATTTTTATTAATTTTAAAAATTCATAGAAAAGTAATTTTTATTTTGTTATTTTTAGTATCATCTTTAAGTCTACTTTTCAGCTACACTACACATATTGTTCTCAAAATGTTGTGTACAATTCAAGAAAACTTGAAAAGTTCTCAACCTTAAATTAAGAGCTTTAAAGGTATTGAGATCATGCAACATTCTTCTGGGAGTATTTTTGATAACAGATTGAAATAAGAAAACTTTTGACAATGTTGCAATCCAAACAATAGCATACTCCTGACACAACGAAAAAGTCATGCTTCTTTAGCAATCATACAGTTGTCTGTACTTTGTCTTTCTCCTGTCCATTCTCAGACTGCGGAGTTTTCTCCTCTTGATCACTCTCTTTCTCTGGTACCTCCTGCTTCATGTCTGTCGTATCTGCTGCCTTTTTAGGTAAAATAAAGAGAAGGTTTATTGTTCATGATCTTTGTTTTACTTGCTTATGATATAGAGTTATATGACATTGAGATGATGGAGTACCTCATTTTTAATTTGGATAAATTTTATTTTTTCATTGGCATATAAAAGATCTATATTAATTTCATGGAAAATTGTTGCTGAAACTGTCAATATTTTCACATCAAGAAATTGGCATGGTTTTTTTTTCATGAGGCTGATGACTGGGTATTTACAGTAAAACTCGTTTAGTACGAACACGGATATAGTGAATTTACGGATATAGCGAAGTCATTTTGGATCCCCAACTATATAAATTTAATGAATTTCTTATACGGTTATAACGAATTACGGATATAGCGAAGTGATTTCATAGGTCCCAGTGACTTCGTTATAACCGAGTTTTACTGTAGTCTCACCTTTTCATCTTCTTCTTTTATTGTGTCATCCTCCTCCACCTCAAAGTCTTCCTCACCAGATCCATGAGCAAGTTCATACAATGCTTTGGCCTCCTTAACTAACCTTTTACGATACTCAAGACTCTAGAAAATGGGATGAAAGTATTAATTATACATTGACATAATACACAGGAAATTCTTTTGTTTCTCAGTGTCAGTATCCATATTTGTAGATGTGAAAATACCTTGTGATTGACCTCTGGTACCCCTTCATACCCATACATGGCCCCATAACAACAGGCTGCAATGACCCCAGTGCTATCACTGTCTCCTCCATGAAACATTGATCTGTAATAAACAATAACACATCTACTGACCCACAATGCTCACCAAAACTACACTCAACAATTTCTATAGGCACAACTGTCCTAATGCTTTTATTCTTTGTTTTGTTTTAATCTCACTTTGAGAATTTTTCACTCATATTGAGATTTCACCACTTGCTGATGGATCAAGGGCCACAAATTTAGACCTGTACTTAGCACTTTAGGTCCTCGAGCAGAAAGGAATCTTTTTTGTGCCAGCATCTACTGCAACACAAAACTGCAGTTAATACTATCCCACGATGGGATTTAAACCGGGAATATATGATCAACTCCTTTATCTGTGACTCTAGTGTACCATTACACCACACAGACAACCATAATGATTTTTAACAAGAGGCCCATGGGCCACATCGCTCACCTGAGAATCTTTTGTCATATTGTTCTTTACCAGATTTCCCCCTTGTAATACATATTGTGACCCCACCCTACCCCAATGATCATAATTTACACAGTTTGAAATTTATACTACCCAGGATGCTTCCACATAAGTTTCAGCTTTTCTGGTCCAGTGGTTCTTGAGAAGAAGATTTTCAAAGATTTTTCCTATATATTTCTATGTAAAACATTGATTCCCCATTGTGGCCCCGCCCTACCCTCGGGGGTCATGATTTGAACAATTTAAAATCTACACTACCCAAGGGTGCTTCCACATGAGTTTCAGCTTTTCTGGCCCACTGGTTCTTGAGAAGAAGAATTTCAAAGATTTTTCCTATATATTTCTATGTAAAACATTGATTCCCCATTGTGGCCCCGCCCAACCCCCGGGGGTCAGGATTTGAACAATTTAGAATCTACACTACCCCACGATGCTTCCACATGAGTTTCAGCTTTTCTAGCCCAGTGGTTCTTGAGAAGGAGATTTTCAAAGATTTTTCCTATATATTTCTATGTAAAACTTTGATTCACCATTGTGGCCCCGCCCTACCCCCGGGGGTCATGATTTGAACAATTTAGAATCTACACTATCCCAGGGTGCTTTCAAATAAGTTTCAGCCTTATTGGCCCAGTGGTTCATGAGAAGAAGATTTTTTAATGACCCCACCCTATTTTTGTCTTTTCTTGATTATCTCCCCTTGTGAGGGGACTTCATTTTACAATTAAAATTCCCCTTCACCCAAGGATGCTTTGTACCAAGTTTGGTCAAAACTGGCCCAGTGGTTCTTGAGAAGAAGTCGAAAATGTGAAAAGTTTACAGACGGACAGACAGACAGACAGACAGCTAGACAGACGGACGGACGGACGACGGACAAAATGTGATCAGAAAAGCTCACTTGAGCCTTCGGCTCAGGTGAGCTAAAAAGGGAAAAAAGCTTCAATCATATTTTATTAAAGAATTGGAAAAATTAAAACTTTGAGTGAAATCAAAGAAAATTTATGTCTACCAGAGAAAATACTTCTTATAATGACATAGCAGTATGGTAATTTTATGAGTTAGTTGTGTGTAAGCACCCAGTATGCAAAATGCATCAGCACTTTAAACATGATCGTTTTATTAATTTTAGAACAAGAAGAAAAATTAAAACAAAATGATACTGGGTTCAGCACACTTAATTATAAGCTTCCAGCTTGGGTTATAATACAATAATCAACAAAATGAAGTTTTGTAAGAAGACGATGGCAATAAAAAATTTAACTTGCCTTTCTCTTATATACCTTCATTAACAGCTAGTTGTTTTTAATTCAATCAATTGTAAGGAGTACTGGTATGATGCCAAAAAACTGAGTTAAAATATCACTGAATGCAGAAGTGTTCAAACTTACTAACGATATCTTTTAAATTTTGTTACCTTTTGCATAGTTCTTCCCAGTTTTTTCCTGATTGTAGAATAGCATCATATCTGTTTCAAAAATTGAAGAAGAAAAAAGTTAAAAAGGAAAGTTTGAAAATTCACACTCTTAAAATGAATGGGGGTCTCCTTTTTATTTGTGGGCCACTAACTTCATTTTTCACTTTGTATCCATTTTTAAAGGATATTATTAAAGCTTATTAAGATCAATGCTAAGGAGATGTTTTTCATGGGTGAAATCTTAAACTTGTGATGTCTATTTCAAATTCATTAGAAAAATACATTAAAGATTTCAGTAAGTCTTAAGTAAAAATCTTCTGCATAGTCTTCTGCACTTCTGTGGTCTTTGACCAGTTCAAATAAGAGGGAAAAGATAGATATAGATACATGTACATGTACGAGGGGTTATCAAAAAGTTCGTGGACTGGGGCTATAAATTTAGTACTATGTTGTCTGAGCTTATAGAATTTATAAGGAACATAAAACAACAAAAGATAAAGAAATGTTGAAAATTTTAGCTCGATACGTTCATTATTTTCCAAATTATATATAAACGACATTATATGAACACCCGGCACTGTCGCCGCTTAATTTCATGATGTTTGACAACGTCATTAGTTTTAAATGTCTGCTTCTTCTACATCATACACTTATTTTGATGACATTCCAAAGAGCTGAGTGAGGACTTCAACCCATCTTGTCTTTATGACTTCACAATGTCATGAACAACAGCTTTCAATGCATATAAAACTGCAAATGGATCTATACATTGTGAGAGATCCTCGCTTGATTGTCCCAGCATATTTGCTTTTTTAAGTTCAATATAGCTAAAACACATGATCAACGTCATTATTTGACGTGATAGATTTTTCAAACCTTGTCTACAAATCGATATTAACTTTGCATTCTTTTTCTCTCTGAGTCTATTTTGGCATTAAAAAACAAGAAAAGTGGATGCAAATTATTTTTCCGTAGCCACTTTAAACATTTCTAGGTGTATACTAGTTTTTCCAGGGGCAAAACTTCATAAAAAGTTGGAAAAGGAAACCCCTCCCCCTTTTGACGTCATTTTCAAGGCAATATTTGTTTGGATACTCCATGTAAAATTTACAATAAAATTTCATAAAACTTCCAGAATAAGGTAAAAACTCCATATTTTATGGAACAATAGTTTCCCAACACATACCTGAATTATCAGGATATTTGGATGTCAAATGTTTATATTAAAATAGTCCAATCTTAGTTACACTTAGGTCGAAAAAATGTCGTTTTCGATGTTGCGCCTCCTGGGCATACCATTGCTTACAAAAACTTTACTAATTTATTTAAGGAATGACTCTAATTCTTGGCCAGATTATCGAGTATAATATGGTTTGGGTCAGTTTACGCTTTATAATCCGCGAAGCAGATTAAATATGTTTAAAAAATACGTACGCAATCATAGGAGCGTCATGGCCGCTAGACCCGCCCCAACCACTGTAACTCAGACTTTTGTAAAAATTGTCGCGACCGTCTTCATCCAGGTTGTCTGGCTCTGGGTCCGTAGTTCCTTCCAGGAGGTTTTTCTCTTTTAGGTATTTCTGCCAGTGTTCCTCAAAATAATTCCTGTAAAATGCAAACACCTTTTACCTAGGTGTCACGAACATGGATATTGCGAATTTACGGATAAAGCAAACTCATCTTGGATCCCAAGCTATATAAATTTAATGAATTTCTTATTCGGTTATAACGAATAACGGATATAGCCAAGTAATTTCATAGGTCCCTGTGACTTTGTTATACAGAGTTTTGCTGTATACAGTGTACATGTGGTATATTCTCTGCAACTTTCATTTTCCCTGATTTGTATGTGTTCTTTTCCTATAATCTTTCTAAAAAGCAGTACATTGTTTGAATTCCATAGAAAATAGTTACCTTAAAGATGCATTGACTGATAATGTATTATTCTGTTGATTTCTCTATCAAACACAGGTTTATCAAGCGATATTCTTGTCAAGATTTAGTTTGTTTCTTACCAAGCTTCTAAGTTGTCCTCCACATAGAAGTTCTCTGACTTGATGTACTCCTTAGCTGTAGGCAGCACCTTCATTAGGCCTGCTCCCCACTCTCTGGGGGGCTTTCCTGGAATAGGGAAAGACAAGAAATAACAACATATAAATCAAAGACTTTACATTTGAAATAAGGATCTTGCACATATGCTTAAAAGTACAAATGTTTACAGAAGTATTGAACATACTCAGCAAAGTGAGTTGCAGATATACTTTACATTACATGCAAAGCTTGTGTCAATCCATGATTTTATTAGTCAAATAAAGAGTAATCGTCTGCTAAAATTCTATGTACATTTAAAGTATACATATAGTTATTTGAGCTTGTAGGAAGACACAGAGATATGTACCTTGTATGGCATAAGAAGACACAAACACAGAGGTATGTACCTTGTATGGCATAGGAAGAGACAATATGTATGGCATAGAAAGAGACAAGCACAGAGTTATGTACCTTGAATGGCATACGCTGTAAACAGAGCAGCAGCCAAACTGCCGAGGTAGCCTGTGGGGTGATGATGGGTCATCCTCCCCGACTCCACGCTGACAGCAATTAAATCTGATAGGTCCCTCTCACTGTAACAAATAATGCACACTGACAGCAACAGGTACTTGTGGACAGGAACCCACCCCCACCCCCTCTTCAGTCAATTTTTTCCCCTCATGGATTATTCTTCTAATGCTTATTTACAATGCATTCCATAATTATGAAAAATAAAAAAAAATTACATAGACATAACAATTTCTTTTAAAAGTCATACCCATGGTATTTTATATTTTACTGCATATTTATACACAATGTTTGGTTGCAGGGCAAACACGACAGTCACGTAACTGTCTCTGCCAATCCGATTCTATTTTACTAGTGATTATTTATATGATATTTAGGATCTCCCATGATTTGTAGTTGAATATGATTTTTACCCTACAAGTTGTGTTTTTAATAAACACACGAGTTGGATAAAAGTCATATCCACCTACAAATCACGGACGATTCTTTTTATCCCATGTTTAATATACAGGTCTCACAACCAATGTTTAAAACTGTTATTATATTGGATTCCACTTAATTTTTAATACTTCATCACAGTAACACAAAAACCATTGAAACATCACAACTGTGGGATAACAAAAATATACAGTGAATCATATCAACGGTATAAAGGGATAAACATGGGATAAAATGATATAATCTCTACATACTGTGGAGATCAGAGACCAATACACATAACAATCTATACCTACTGTGGATATCCACAGGATATAGGGGTAAACAATATAGGATAAAACTAGAAAACTGACCAGTCAGCAAGGGCCCCGCCATGGGGTAGAATTAAAAGGGTGCAGCTTACAGAATGATTAATAAATGTATGAAGAATAAGCAACACCAACTGTATTCTTAAGATAATTCCTGAATATTCAAAAACCTGAAAATAATATCCTTGTATTTACATTAGGCAGTAAAGAACAACTTAACACTGAATGTATATTTAAACAATTATGAAGCTTGTGTTATATAAAATGCCAGCCTTCAATGAATGCAAATATCATGAAGGCTTGACCTTAACTTCAAACAAACAGCAGTTGCAGACAAAGGTTTTCATTAATCTTAAAGCGACAGATAAAGAAAAGCCTACTAAATTTTCTGCAGCAGGCTAGATAATTAATCCCAAGGGATTAATTGTACCTCTCTCATCATTTTCTTCTAAATTTACAATAAGAACTTTTTCAGTATTAATGATAGAATGGGGTTTTTATACAACTACATTAAAAATTAATTATATTCTTGAATTAATATATTAAAAAAAGTGAAAAAAGTGAAAAAAGTCAATCAAAAAATCTTCCTTAATCTATTTCTTTTTTTTAGAATTCAATGAAATCATAAGTTCTATCAAACAAAAATAAATAATAAAAATTTATATTCAAATCCACATTTCAGAGTGTTCATAGCATTCCAAATTGATTTAACTTCAAAACAAACTTCATTTGCAGACAGAGGTGGTAATTAATCTCAATGTGACAGATAAAGATAATGCTCTGGATTTTCTTCAGGAGGAAAGCTAATTAATCCCAAGGGACTCCTAGCAGCATTCAGTTTACAATGGGAACATCTTCAGCAGTTATCTCTCTTTGCCAATGCATTCTTATATAAAGTTAAGGAATCTACCCCACCACCCCAGCTCCAAACCATGGGACATAGAGAACCAAACTTAGCATCAAAATATGTATTTCTGCCTACTGAACTACCATACCAAATTTGAACTTGATTGGGAAACTATAAGAAAAGTTATTAGGAAAAACAAAAAATTTGTGGACGGACGAGTGACAGACGGACAGCTAGACAGACAGACAGACGGACAGACGGACGGACAGAGTGATTACTATAGGGCAACCGCAAATCCTTGCGGGGCCCTAATAATATAAACTTTAATCTCTACATACTGTGGGTATCGGAGACCAATACACATGGCTCTCATGGCTGCACCACACCCTCCACCTCTGTCAAAAACATCATAAACATCATTACACTGACTGGTAAACATTATGTGGCAATCTATAATTATTTTTTTAACATATATATTTTCAATTGATATGAAATACATGCTCTGGTATTGTGTGTAACAAAGAAATACAAAATTTATTAATTTTACTGACCTCTCAAAAAATTTTATCCTACATCCGTCTCTCCAGTCTGGTCTGTCTGGATGGAGCTGGTGAACACTGCTGCAACACGTATTCCCTGAGATACAGTAAATTATAATTAAATGGTGTCTGGCTGAACACAAGAACATCTTCAATCCTGATGCTAAATTAGTTATTTTCCAGTTAATACCTCAGATAATAAAATTAAAACCTATAACCCCCCTTAGATGCTGTACCAGTGGCTGACCAATTTCATATCAGATAATAAAATTAAGTCCAATCAAACCCTTCCTAGACACTGTATCTTGTGCCTGATCTATTTTATATCAAAAATAAGATAATTCTTATAAAACCCTCCTAGACACTGTACTGGTGCCTGATCTATTTTATATAAACCCCTCCTACACACTGTACCTACAGTGCCTGATCTATTTTATATAAACCCCTCCCAGACACTGTATCAGGTGTCTGATCTATTTTATATAAACCCCTCCTAGACACTGTATCTGGTGTCTGATCTATTTTATATAAACCCCTCCTAGACACTGTATCTGGTGTCTGATCTATTTTATATAAACCCCTCCTAGACACTGTACTGGTGTCTGATCTATTTTATATAAACCCCTCCTAGACACTGTACTGGTGTCTGATCTATTTTATATAAACCCCTCCTAGACACTGTATCAGGTGTCTGATCTATTTTACATAAACCCCTCCTAGACACTGTATCTGGTGTCTAATCTATTTTATATAAACCTCTCCTAGACACTGTATCAGGTGTCTGATCTATTTTATATAAACCCCTCCTAGACACTGTATCTGGTGTCTGATCTATTTTATATAAACCCCTCCTAGACACTGTATCTGGTGTCTGATCTATTTTATATAAACCCCTCCTAGACACTGTACTGGTGTCTGATCTATTTTATATAAACCCCTCCTAGATACTGTATCTGGTGTCTGATCTATTTTATATAAACCCCTCCTAGACACTGTATCTGGTGTCTGATCTATTTTATATAAACCCCTCCTAGACTCTGTACCAGTGTCTGATCTATTTTATATAAACCCCTCCTAGACACTGTCTCTGGTGCCTGATCTATTTTATATAAACCCTTGCTAGACATTGTACCTGGTGCCTGATCTATTTTATATAAACCCCTCCTAGACACTGTAACTGGTGCCTGATCTATTTTATATAAACCCCTCCTAGACTCTGTACTAGTGCCTGATCTATTTTATATAAACTCCTCCTAGGCACTGTACCTAGTGTCTGATCTATTTTATATAAACCTCTCCTAGACACTGTATCTGGTGTCTGGTCTATTTTATATAAATCCTCTATACACTGTACTTGGTGTCTGATCTATTTTATATAAACCCCTCCTAGACACTGTACTGGTGTCTGATCTATTTTATATAAATCCCTCCTAGACACTGTGTCTGGTGTCTGATCTATTTTATATAAACTCCTCCTAGACACTGTACCTAGTGTCTGATCTATTTTATATAAACCCCTCCTAGACACTGTACCTGGTGTCTGGTCTATTTTATATTAACCCCTCCTAGACACTGTACCTGGTGTCTGCTCTATTTTATATAAACCCTCCTAGACACTGTACTGGTGTCTGATATATTTTATATTAACCCCTCCTAGACACTGTATCTGGTGTCTAATCTATTTTATATAAACCTCTCCTAGACACTGTATCAGGTGTCTGATCTATTTTATATAAACCCCTCCTAGACACTGTACTGGTATCTGATCTATTTTATATAAACCCCTCCTAGACACTGTATCTGGTGTCTGATCTATTTTATATAAACCCCTCCTAGACACTGTACCTGGTGTCTGGTCTATTTTATATAAACCCCTCCTAGACACTGTACTGGTATCTGATCTATTTTATATAAAACCCTCCTACTCACTGTATCTGGTGCCTGATCTATTTTATATAAACCCCTCCTAGACACTGTACCTGGTGTCTGGTCTATTTTATATAAACCCCTCCTAGACACTGTACTGGTATCTGATCTATTTTATATAAACCCCTCCTAGACACTGTACCTCGTGTCTGATCTATTTTATATAAACCCCTCCTAGACACTGTATCTGGTGTCTAATCTATTTTATATAAACCCCTCCTAGACACTGTACTGGTGCCTGATCTATTTTATATAAACCCCTCCTAGACACTGTACTGGTGCCTGATCTATTTTATATAAACCCCTCCTAGACACTGTACTGGTGTCTGATATATTTTATATTAACCCCTCCTAGACACTGTATCTGGTGTCTGATCTATTTTATATAAACCTCTCCTAGACACTGTATCTGGTGTCTGGTCTATTTTATATAAATCCTCTATACACTGTACTTGGTGTCTGATCTATTTTATATAAACCCCTCCTAGACACTGTATCTGGTGCCTGATCTATTTTATATAAACCCCTCCTAGACATTGTACCTATAGTGCCTGATCTATTTTATATAAACCCCTCCTAGACATTGTATCTGGTGCCTGATCTATTTTATATAAACCCCTCCTAGACATTGTACCTACAGTGCCTGATCTATTTTATATAAACCCCTCCTAGACATTGTATCTGGTGTCTGATCTATTTTATATAAACCCCTCCTAGACATTGTACCTATAGTGCCTGATCTATTTTACATAAACCCCTCCTAGACTTTGTACTGGTGCCTGATCTATTTTATATAAACCCCTCCTAGACATTGTACCTATAGTGCCTGATGTATTTTATATAAACCTCTCCTAGACACTGTATCAGGTGTCTGATCTATTTTATATAAACCCCTCCTAGACACTGTATCAGGTGTCTGATCTATTTTATATAAACCCCTCCTAGACACTGTACTGGTATCTGATCTATTTTATATAAACCCCTCCTAGACACTGTATCTGGTGTCTGATATATTTTATATTAACCCCTCCTAGACACTGTATCTGGTGCCTGATCTATTTTATATAAACCCCTCCTAGACACTGTACTGGTGTCTGATATATTTTATATTAACCTCTCCTAGACACTGTATCTGTTGTCTGATCTATTTTATATAAACCTCTCCTAGACACTGTATCTGGTGTCTGGTCTATTTTATATAAATCCTCTATACACTGTACTTGGTGTCTGATTTATTTTATATAAACCCCTCCTAGACACTGTATCTGGTGCCTGATCTATTTTATATAAACCCCTCCTAGACATTGTACCTATAGTGCCTGATCTATTTTATATAAACCCCTCCTAGACACTGTATCTGGTGTCTGATCTATTTTATATAAACCCCTCCTAGACACTGTACTGGTGTCTGATCTATTTTATATAAACCCCTCCTAGATACTGTATCTGGTGTCTGATCTATTTTATATAAACCCCTCCTAGACACTGTATCTGGTGTCTGATCTATTTTATATAAACCCCTCCTAGACTCTGTACCAGTGTCTGATCTATTTTATATAAACCCCTCCTAGACACTGTCTCTGGTGCCTGATCTATTTTATATAAACCCTTGCTAGACATTGTACCTGGTGCCTGATCTATTTTATATAAACCCCTCCTAGACACTGTAACTGGTGCCTGATCTATTTTATATAAACCCCTCCTAGACTCTGTACTAGTGCCTGATCTATTTTATATAAACTCCTCCTAGGCACTGTACCTAGTGTCTGATCTATTTTATATAAACCTCTCCTAGACACTGTATCTGGTGTCTGGTCTATTTTATATAAATCCTCTATACACTGTACTTGGTGTCTGATCTATTTTATATAAACCCCTCCTAGACACTGTACTGGTGTCTGATCTATTTTATATAAATCCCTCCTAGACACTGTGTCTGGTGTCTGATCTATTTTATATAAACTCCTCCTAGACACTGTACCTAGTGTCTGATCTATTTTATATAAACCCCTCCTAGACACTGTACCTGGTGTCTGGTCTATTTTATATTAACCCCTCCTAGACACTGTACCTGGTGTCTGCTCTATTTTATATAAACCCTCCTAGACACTGTACTGGTGTCTGATATATTTTATATTAACCCCTCCTAGACACTGTATCTGGTGTCTAATCTATTTTATATAAACCTCTCCTAGACACTGTATCAGGTGTCTGATCTATTTTATATAAACCCCTCCTTGACACTGTACTGGTATCTGATCTATTTTATATAAACCCCTCCTAGACACTGTATCTGGTGTCTGATCTATTTTATATAAACCCCTCCTAGACACTGTACCTGGTGTCTGGTCTATTTTATATAAACCCCTCCTAGACACTGTACTGGTATCTGATCTATTTTATATAAAACCCTCCTACTCACTGTATCTGGTGCCTGATCTATTTTATATAAACCCCTCCTACACACTGTACCTGGTGTCTGGTCTATTTTATATAAACCCCTCCTAGACACTGTACTGGTATCTGATCTATTTTATATAAACCCCTCCTAGACACTGTACCTCGTGTCTGATCTATTTTATATAAACCCCTCCTAGACACTGTATCTGGTGTCTAATCTATTTTATATAAACCCCTCCTAGACACTGTACTGGTGCCTGATCTATTTTATATAAACCCCTCCTAGACACTGTACTGGTGCCTGATCTATTTTATATAAACCCCTCCTAGACACTGTACTGGTGTCTGATATATTTTATATTAACCCCTCCTAGACACTGTATCTGGTGTCTGATCTATTTTATATAAACCTCTCCTAGACACTGTATCTGGTGTCTGGTCTATTTTATATAAATCCTCTATACACTGTACTTGGTGTCTGATCTATTTTATATAAACCCCTCCTAGACACTGTATCTGGTGCCTGATCTATTTTATATAAACCCCTCCTAGACATTGTACCTATAGTGCCTGATCTATTTTATATAAACCCCTCCTAGACATTGTATCTGGTGCCTGATCTATTTTATATAAACCCCTCCTAGACATTGTACCTACAGTGCCTGATCTATTTTATATAAACCCCTCCTAGACATTGTATCTGGTGTCTGATCTATTTTATATAAACCCCTCCTAGACATTGTACCTATAGTGCCTGATCTATTTTACATAAACCCCTCCTAGACTTTGTACTGGTGCCTGATCTATTTTATATAAACCCCTCCTAGACATTGTACCTATAGTGCCTGATGTATTTTATATAAACCTCTCCTAGACACTGTATCAGGTGTCTGATCTATTTTATATAAACCCCTCCTAGACACTGTATCAGGTGTCTGATCTATTTTATATAAACCCCTCCTAGACACTGTACTGGTATCTGATCTATTTTATATAAACCCCTCCTAGACACTGTATCTGGTGTCTGATATATTTTATATTAACCCCTCCTAGACACTGTATCTGGTGCCTGATCTATTTTATATAAACCCCTCCTAGACACTGTACTGGTGTCTGATATATTTTATATTAACCTCTCCTAGACACTGTATCTGTTGTCTGATCTATTTTATATAAACCTCTCCTAGACACTGTATCTGGTGTCTGGTCTATTTTATATAAATCCTCTATACACTGTACTTGGTGTCTGATCTATTTTATATAAACCCCTCCTAGACACTGTATCTGGTGCCTGATCTATTTTATATAAACCCCTCCTAGACATTGTACCTATAGTGCCTGATCTATTTTATATAAACCCCTCCTAGACATTGTATCTGGTGCCTGATCTATTTTATATAAACCCCTCCTAGACATTGTACCTACAGTGCCTGATCTATTTTATATAAACCCCCCTAGACATTGTATCTGGTGCCAGTGATCTATTTTATATAAACCCCTCCTAGACATTGTACCTATAGTGCCTGATCTATTTTACATAAACCCCTCCTAGGCTTTGTACTGGTGCCTGATCTATTTTATATAAACCCCTCCTAGACATTGTACCTACAGTGCCTGATCTATTTTATATAAACCCCTCCCAGATACTGTACTTAGTGCTTGTTCTCTTTAACATCAGATAATTACATTAAGGCTGTTTAACCCCTCCTAGACACTGTACCTGGTGCCCGGTCTCTCATATCCTTCATGCACTGTTTGTAGTTTCTAGCAATTTCCCTGAACAGTTCATCTTTTTTACTGGACTCTTTACATTTGGTGAGGGCTGCAGGAAATATAAATACATCAATCATTAGAAATATATTTCTGTTATATTTCTATCTCTATACAGTAAATGTATGATTTTATTAAACTTAAAATGAACTTCATACTGTATTTCTGTGGTTGATCATAAATCAATTAAATGATATCAGTAGAAAGAAGCAGACCAAATATGTAACTCTCAACCAATATTTTATGTTAAAATTGGAAAACATGCATTTAAATGAAAAAAAGAGTAAATAAATACAGAAAGTAAAAATCAACTTTTGATTAAAAAAAAAAAGCTTATTAATAAAATCTTACCCTCAGATGTCGCTAAATGCATGACAGTATCATCACTAACTATCCACTTTGGTGCTAAAAAAAATTTACAATGCAAATAATTTACAAAAATGTTTAAGCAAATTAAGGATCATTTAAAATATCATCTTCGCTTGCCAAGGGTTTTCAATCCAAAGTCTGCTCTACAAGAGTAGATTTCGGATCAGAAACCCGTGGCTAGCGAAGATGTTAAAATACGTAACAAAATTAATTAAGTTATACGAAGCCCTGAATTAAAAGAAAAGAAATTCTGCAAAATTGTTGATTATACTGTGTGCATTTTTAAAAAATTTTTATACCAACTGCTATCAGAAACTACAAAAATGTTATTAATCTTACGTTTCACTAATATAGAATTTAATCCTCCTAATGCCTTCAACTCTTTTATAATCTCTTTTCCGTGGTGACAAAACTCCCAGGAGCCATTCTTATACCCCAAGGCATCCCCAGCTGCACTCAGGACCATAGCGGCCTCATAGCGCTGGCGCATGGAAACCATGGCTGGTTTGGATCTTTTCTTTGAATTAAAGTTCCCCGTTTTAGACAGTGCACAAGAAACAGTCCTGTGAAATCAATAGATAAAAAAAAGAGTAGATTCAAATAATGGCCTTATCAAAATTAGCTAATTAATGAACATAAAATACAAACCGAAAATATTTAAAATCCTTTATCAACACTGTTGACGACAGTTAGAAATAGTCATGACACATAAAGTAACTTTCATTTTCACTCAAAAGCGAAAGCGAAAGTACCAGATACGAAATAATTCGAAACAACTTACCAAGATTCTGTTACACCGGAACAACATGAGCAAAAAACGAAAAGGCAAATATTTTCTGTATTTTTTATTACTCATGTTTAGTTTTAGCACCTGTAAATGCGGATGGACAGAAGATGGGGGATATATTGGACTCTATCCTGGTGGATGCACCGTAAAAAGGTATCGTTCACCACAAACACTGCATAAACTGAAACTTACACATTAGGGACAGACAGAGGTCTTGTGCAATCACTAGATTTAGCTACGTAGCTTGAATTACCAACTAAGCTTTATTCAAACACCTGAAGTAGCTTTATTTAGCTATCAAATCAAACATTTCTTGAATTATCACTTTGCAGAAAATCATACTTTTGTAGTATCTGTGCGACTATCCCGTGGTACGACTTACTGTCTGTATTACGTCAGATGGCGGGATAGTCGACTCCCTCTCTTCTACACCTGGATGCCGAGCAGACCGGACGTGTCTGGGACAGCAGCGGAGCGGGAAGTCGACCCGGGCCAGAACCCACTGTGATTGTCTTTGTATATATTGCTGTACGTTAATAAATACTTGTAAAGCACACCCCCTTGACGGATACCTTACTGGCGCCCAATTCGCGGGGCCCGGGATTCCCGTACTGCTGTCAGGTATTTTTAGGCATCGGTTTTAGCCGCCATTTTTGGTGCTGCTAGGTACGTGAGAGCACATGTTGATTTTTCATGTATTTTTCTTGAATCGACTTTTGGAATTGATTTGTAAATATTGGCAGTGATTTATTTGATTATTTGTGACATTTTATTATGGATATGTCTGTTGAGGAGGCCGTGTCGGCTTTAGTCCTGGACACGCGCCCGGCTATCAATAGTGTCATGCAGTCAGACAGATTTAACCCTCCTGTTCCGTGCAGTGTGTATGGTTCTCCCGAGGAAGGGGGTTTTCCACCATATGTTAAACGGGAGTGAGCATATTGCATCCCGTCACACACCTTTTGCTCAATCAATGTCAGGTCACATGGGAGGGGGGTTGCCCCTCGGGGGTCCCTCTACACCTAGGCCCGGCCCGCATTCGGGCATCCCCTTTGGGGAGGGTAGTGTGTTACATGGTATGTCAAGGAGAGAAGTAAGGTTTGCCAAGCCCCAATGTAGCTCACCAGGGATGATGACCAGTGATTCCCAGGAGTCCTCTTTAGGTAGCCTGTGTTGGTGTGGCTCACCTGGCAGCACTGTGAGTTGTAGCCCACCTAGGTATGAATACAGTGAGGTTCCCTTGAGTTTAGGTTTAGAACATCAGTATTCTGTAGGTCATGTGCTCTCAGCTAGCAGCCAACCTGTCCTTGTGGGAGACACAGCTAACCTGGGGGACATAGGAGTTAGACCAAGCTTTGGTGAGGGTATACCCCACTCGCTTGACCCCGCCCCTCCGCCACACACACTGTTTGCCAATCAACAGCCTGTGAGGCCTGCACCGCTCACTTCTGTGTATGATCTGAGGCCTGTTGACCCTTTAAGGCTCACCTGGAACCCTTTGTCTGTACAAACACAGCCTAGACCCGAGGACTTTAGTGTGTCCTCTCTTCCTGGGGATGATTTTCAACCCCGGACCTCAATGCCACACACTACCTTTGTCCGAGACTTGGTGAATACTGGGGGTGGACATGCCCAACCCCCACTGCCTGATCACACCCAATCCCTATGTTACCGAGGTGAGGATATTCAAACCTCACACCTAGGTATGACTATGCCCAGTGCATCACAGCATCATAGTGTCCCCATGTCATCGACTTGTAGTCCTGCCTATCTGGATACCCCAACCTGCCATTTTGGAAGGGAGGGGGAGAGGATAGCACATGTGCATGATACAGCCAAGCTGGGACACTATGCTAGTCAGCCTGTCCCGGCCCACCAGGATAGCAGCTTTAATTCACCTGCACAGAACACCAGTAGGGCAGCTGCTGGGAGTAAGCCCAGGTACAAGGACCTTAGGTATGATGGTAAGACCAGCTGGAAGGCATTTTTGCACAAGTTTGTGAGGTTGTCTCGCAGTCAGCTGTGGACTGAGGAGGAGCAGCATGACCAGTTCTGTTTTTCCCTTGAAGGGGCAGCAAGCGAGTATTATACCCTGCTGTTAGAAACCAGTAGCCAGCTCCGCCTAGGTGAGATCTTGCAGAGATTTGAGAAGCGTTTTGGCCCCTCTGCTCCCGATCTCACTCATCAACTTAACTTCCAGTCTGCCTGCCAGAACCCTGGGGAGTCGCTTCATCAGTGGGCCGACAGAGTCCTGACTTTGGCGACACGAGCCTTCCCCAGTGTGCCTGATGTGCACACTCATGCTATACCTCGGCTATGCTATGGAGCTGAGGACAGAGATGCTGGCCTTTACGCACTTGATGGGCATCCCCGGACAGTGGAGGAAGCCGTGGAGTGCATGCAATACTATCAGCACTCCCGGCGTCACAGGCCTAAGCCGTCAAGGGAAGTGAGAAAGCTGGATTCTGCTCATTACATGAAGCAGACTGATCCCGGGAGAATAAATGTTGTTGCTGTGGAGGAGCTTGCAGCCCTCAGGAGCAGGATAGAAAATCTAGAGGAGTTGATAAGGCAGTGGGAAGCTGCCCCCCTTCAGAAACATCAGAGGAGTGGTACCCCGTCACCCAGATGGACGGAGCGGGACCGGAAGCCTGCTGTATGTTTCAGGTGTGGAGAGGTGGGGCACTTCCGTAGAGATTGCCCCACCCGAGCTGCAGGGAAGACAGTCGCTTCTGACGGGCAAAGGGGCGGGACCAGTGTGGGAGGACTCCCTGTGGAGACGTCCCCTAGGTCAGATTCCAAGGAGTTGGGGATCAGTGTTCCCCGCTCCTGTGTGTGGCGCCGGCACAAGCGCCGCAGGCTTAAAGATCAATTTGGGATGCCACCATCACCGGAGCTTTGCTTGGCTGAGGAGGAAGTGGTCACCATGGAAGAGAAAGTGGGGACTCCCCACTCCACTCTGGAGCCGTTTGGACCAGCCATGGTTGGTGATGAACCCCCAGACCTGGGGAGGATGGACCCATGTGGTGTTGATCTGATGTCACCTGCAGGGATGGGTAATTCCTGGTCACCCATGGCAGTGGGATTGAAGGAGCCCTCTATACACACTGAGCGGTTATGCGGATCTAAAGGTTTTATGGTTGGCCTGTGCGTGGAAGGCATGGAGGTTACAGCAGTAGTGGATACAGGGGCTGAGGTCAGCGTGTTGTCAACCAGGGTGTATGACCAGCTGGAGCCCAAACCCCCAATTCTGGAATATGTCACCATGAGACAGGCCGGAGAAAATGCAGAGTTAGAAGGGTTTATTGCGGGGCCGGTCACTGTGTGTATTGGCCAGCAGGAGCATGAGATGAAACTTTATGTCGCCCCGTTGCAGGACTCGATGCTGCTAGGCATGGATTTTCTCCGTGCCCGGAAAGCCCAGCTGGACTTGGGGCAAGGAACCCTTACTCTGGGGGATGAGGCCATAAGGGTGGAGTTCAGGAGGTCTGGTGTTATTCCAGAGGAAGGCGTGACCTTGACAGGAGGCACACCAGTTGAGGCAGACAGGCGTATGTCTGTTCCCCGTTTAGTGAGGGATTTTGGCCGTGTGGTGCCTCTGACCCATCCAGGAAGTACACTTGGTATACCAGACCCGGTAGTAGAGATGTTTGGAGAGTCCCTCTTGGATTCTGCCATAGAGGATATCGGTGTCGAACCACCTTCTTTAGATGAGGCAGCCTTTGGTCATGTTTCTTGGCGTTTACCAAGTTGTGTGGATGGGGGCCCAACCCCAGAGGTAAACGTCACCAAGGACCATGATGCAGAAATGGGGACAGCCCCGTATGATTCAGGCAGTCCCTGGTCGCCTGATGATTCGACACCAGAGGAGAAAATTACCTCTCGCTTGTACAGACCCAGGCGGAGGCGTGGGCGACGCCGGAGGGCAAGTTTGCCCTCCAGAGCCTGATGGTGTAAGTGTTGTCAGTTTCTGAGTTAGTGGGCCTGGTGACCTTGGCCCACTCGGAGAATGTTAAACAGGAGTTGTAGGAGGTAATCTGGGAATTATCCCGGACTTACCACTTTGTGTAAATCCTTGTCGTGGTTTTGCCTGGAGCTTGCTCCGGCACTTGTTATTCTTGGGCAGTTAGCCCGGGAGGGTGTTTACAGCACCCCAACGTTGGAGATGGTTCCGGACCCTCTTTCCTGCGGTAGACTCCAGCCTTTCAGAGAAAACAGGGGGGAGTGTAGTATCTGTGCGACTATCCCGTGGTACGACTTACTGTCTGTATTACGTCAGATGGCGGGATAGTCGACTCCCTCTCTTCTACACCTGGATGCCGAGCAGACCGGACGTGTCTGGGACAGCAGCGGAGCGGGAAGTCGACCCGGGCCAGAACCCACTGTGATTGTCTTTGTATATATTGCTGTATGTTAATAAATACTTGTAAAGCACACCCCCTAGACGGATACTTTACTTTGCTGTAGGCCTTGCTGCAGAACTGTATTGACAGACCGGAGAGCAACAGTGCCACCCATTGAAAAATGAAAAAAAAAAAAACTTGTCAGATTCTCCTTTTTAGTATTGCTTCAATATTTACAAAAGTGTAATGGATGAGTGACACTGTAGCCTGCAGTCTTGACGTAAAATGATTTTATTTGTTGTCAGCGTTCTCGGTTCTTGCTCTCTTGTTAATCCATCAATTTATTTCTGCTTCTCATTAACACTGAAAAAACTTCTCCATGTATATTTCCATTGAGCCACAGTCAAAATGTAAGATGTAAGAGAAAGCTATGGTATTTAAATTGAGGGTAGCTGCAGAACTGTAGTGTTATGGTTTTATATATTAGTCTTTGACCGTAACGCAACAGATCCAGTTATGCAAAAAATGTGCAATTTACTGCTCAAGATTTTTTGCTTATTGTTTGGGAAAATTTCTCCACTTTCAAACATTGGTAAATTATCCACCTTTCCCTCCATAATTCTAGACACAGTTTTAAAAAATCTGTATATTTTATACACTCTCCAACCCTTTTTAAGCATCTCTACAAGCGTCAAGCGATACACTCATTTGAATTAGAATTTTCTGCAATCTCTTAGACAATTCAATCAAGCCAGTTTATTGCCTGTAGAGGTGAATATAAAGGGGTGAGAGGAGGATAAAATATACAAATTGGTAAAAAATATGTCTGGAATTAGGGGGTGTAAGGTAGATGATTTACCAAAGTTGAAAAATGGAGAAATTCCCCCAAACAGTACGCAAAAAATCTTGCGTCGTAAATTGCACAGTTTTTGCATAACAAGATCTGTAGCGTTATGATCATTCAAAAACTAATATGTAAAATCATAATGCTGCAGTTCTGCAGCTACATTGAAGGTTAAGCTTCACTTTCCCTTCTAGCTTCTTTTCTCTTCTTTGATATACCAAGCCTTGCCAAAACTACATTTGTAGATGCATGTTAGAGTAAGAACATGAAAACCCACTATAGCCTACATATAGTTGGTACATGTATTAGTTTGTGCCCTCCCCTGTCTACTCAGTTCTCTTTGATAGAAATTCTACTGTAAGGGTTTTATTGAGATAATCAATGATTATTATTATATCATTTTATAATTTGCAGGATTATCATATTTTTTTCAGTTTAATTTTTGATCAATATATGTCATATTACATATATTACAATCAGTATATGTTTCATTTGTTTTAGTGACTGCCCGATGGAAGAAAGGTGCATGCATTCAGTAGAAGAAACAATTTGTCCCAATGATCATCAAAATCTATGCAGGTGTACTTTAGGTGTGTATTCTCATATAGCTGAAGATTTAAGGTGCATTGACCCTTTGGTAAGAGAGGCAACTGTCACTGGGATAAATGACACAGTCAGACATTATGATATTGCTAATATTTGAATTATAATTTACATGCTTTTTTTGAAAATCATAATAATCATTTAATAGAAGAAAATTTTATACAAGTGAACAGAGGATTGCCTTAAAGGGGGAGGAAAAAAGCACCTCCTTAAAATTTACCTGGTTTTAGAACCCCTGTCAATCATCTGAAATTAAGCCTGGGATTGGATACTTTGATTTGATTGACATTTAGTTTGCTGCTGTTGTGTATATCTTGTGTACCTTGTCTGGAGATCGTACCGACCATCGAATTAACTTTCAGGCTTTTGATGCCTACCGCACATGCCAACGTGATAAAGCAGCAATTAAATCGTTCTAATCTTTTCTTTTTTAAGTCATAAGAATTTGCCATAAATATAATCAATCTCTCAAATAATTAAATAAATGTCTGACAAAAAAAAAATCATAGCTATATAATATATATTATAAATTTAATTTGAAAAGGGAGGATTTCATATCACGATTACAATCGATAATTTTAATTTCCGTGTCAAAACATGAGTTTAACATACATTTATTCCTCCATTAATTAACAAAATAAACCGACCTACGTTTGAGGCTAGTATCATGGAATTAAATAAAATTATTTTTTAAAACAAGTATGACAACATTGTAGCATTACTTATGAATCAAGTGAATTTATATTTATAACACACACCTGTACGTGTCGCTTTTCTTCGAGACAGGGTGACGAAGTTACGGTATAATAATAAGTTTTAGAAGAGAAATTACTCTGAATATAACATCTTGCTTTGTATTTAATGTTTGAAATTAATAATGAATCCCGAAAGAAAAAAAAAACGATGCAGTTGATTCCATTCCCGTTTCATGTCTGTCGGGGAATCATCCCCGGTCCGAAGCCCTGGCCATTTTTACCGACCATGCGTTATGGAAAAATCAAGTAGGGTTTATCTCAAAAAGATGTTTAAAAAGATAATAATATTTCTACTTCAACATTTTATTCTCAAAACATCGTTTCTAAGTTTCATTGTTATTTACCAAGAGACTGTTTTATGATTCACTTTCTTCTTTCGTTTTGCGTAGACGACGTGTAATTTGAATTACTCCCCTTTTTCGTCGCCAGATTTTGGTACTAAATGCATTTTCGTTATAACACTTCACTAAGAAACACACTGTATATAAAAAATGTCGAATTATTAAAAATATCAATTATTTTAAAAGAAAGAAATTGAGAAGGATTCTGTCTGCAACAAAAAATGCTTCATGAACTAAACAGGAAAAAAACGGCCTCGGTTTACAAAGTCGTAGGAAAACGCATACAGGTAATACACTCAGGTAACAACCTGTGTATATAGGATGTATACACAAGCCAGTGTCGTTCCCTCGGGGCTTCTCAGTCGCTTCGATTAAGCTCCTCCCCACACCAAACTTACCTGAGGAAAACCGTACGGTTGAAAACCTCGGCCTTTAAGCTAGAACTCCACCGATGATTTCTTTTATCTTGGCTCTCACACAGGAAAAAAAATATTTCAGATGAGGAAAATGTATATCTCTTCATAGGTTTATAAAAACAATACTCAATTTAAGAAAAAAATCTTAGACATCAGTATACATGTACCAGGTATTTAGTTTATTTTTCCGGAAAGAGCACAGTCTGAATGACAGGTGAGAAAAATCTGTCCATGCTCAATAAGTGTAAAAATCATTATAAAAAAAATAAATAAACAAAACAAAAATATAGGTAAATGTCAGTAATATTACAGAAAACCTAGAAAAATATTTTTTGAAAATGTGTCATTCATTGTTTTATTATTATGCCCCCCTTCGAAGAAGGGAGGGCATATTGCTTTGCTGCTATCGGTCGGTCTGTCGGTCCACTTAGTTTCTGTTCATTTTCTTCGCAACCGTTGCACATACTGAAATGAAATTTGGTATACAGATATATCACATGAATATCTAGGTCAAGTTCTGTTTTGGGTACGATCGCACCATTTTTGACAGAGTTATGCCCCTTGGACTTAGAAAAATTTCAGTTATTTGCAGTTTCCGTTCATTTTCTTTGCAATTGTTGTACATACTGAAATGAAATTTGGTATACAGATATACCACATGAATATCTAGGTCAAGTTTTGTTTTGGGTACGAACGCACTAATGTTGACAGAGTTATGCCCCTTGAAGTTAAAAAAATTTCAATTATTTGCAGTTTCTGCTCATTTTCTTTGCAACTGTTACACATACTGAAATGAAATTTGGTATACGGATATATCACATTAATGTCTAGGTCAAGATCTGTTTTGGGTACGATCGCACCATTTTTGACAGAGTTATGCCCCTTGGACTTAGAAAAATTCCAATTATTTGCAGTTTCCATTCATTTTCTTTGCAACTGTTGCACATACTGAGATGAAATTTAGCATACAGATTTATCAGATGACTATCTAGGTCAAGTTCTGTTTTGGGTACAATCGTGCCATTTTTAGCCGGGCTTATTGCTCAAAGAGCAATTGCCGGCTTGTGTCATCCTGTTCAAGGCAGGAAGACAACCCCATAGTCGCCATTTTAAAGTTACGTGCAAAAATATAGTTCTTACTCTCAACCGCTTTTGAGATAATACAAACGCTTAATAAAGCAACAAAAATGAAACGAAGTTTTATCTATATAAATAAACATTAGCAGTAATGACTTTGAAAACTTCAGTCCTAAGTCAAAGAACATAGTTTATCAGCGTAAGGATTTTTGATAATCACCGTTATCGTAGTTCTCTATGCATACGAGGTAAAGCAGGGAACCAGACTGGCCTGTTTTTTTACATTCAGCAGCGGTTCCAGATTAATTCTAATTCTGACAAAATCGGACCGTGGTATTAAGATTGAAAAACTCACTGTCAGTGTCTTATAATTTATATTGATAGTTTTTAAATAATTTTTTCATCAGAGTATAAACGTGATTCATGTAAGAAATTTATTCTACTCTGTAAATGAGCCCGGCTCTGTGTACTTCTGAGTACTTTGATTGACAGAGTTATGCCCTTTTGAACTTGGAAAAATTCCAATTTGGGGGGGGGGAGGGGGGCATAAATGTTTTACAAACATCTCTTGTTGAAAAGAGAATCCTGGACTTTTAATTACACCTGTAGTACCTTTTTCTTGATTAGGTTGTGAGATTGATAATCTGATTGTTCGTTATGAGCAGTGGAGACCCATTCCAGGAAAGGGATTCTGCAAGTGTATCAATTCTTTTACAAATGAAGTAAGTATACATCAATTTTAGTATATGGAATAAGTGGCTGAAAAAAAATAATTTTCATGTTCCCCCATGAGGAGTGGGGCGAAAATCATCAAAATTTATGCAATCTTTTTAAAATCCTTTTTAACTCTTGGATATCAAGCTGTTGGGGTCATTATGATTAACATTTAGCCCATCATCTAAAGGCATGAATTCCAGAGTTTAGTGGAGTGGGGGTCATATAGGGAAAATACATACATACATTTTTTCAAACACCTCACCTTCATGGTAGCTCAGTCATTAGAGCACTAGCTCTGTGTTCGGAAGGTCCTCTGTTCGAATGTCAGCTTAGAGTGACCTAAGTCGATAAAAATGGGAAGCAGCTGTTCATTTGCCATGTGCTTCGGCACCTTGAAGTGAAAGTTGCAGGTCCTTCAGATGACCTTAACATGATAAAGAACCCGGCCTCACTGCTCAATGGCGGTAAGTTCCAAGTAAAGGTAAAATTTTGAAGCCTTTCACCGGTATACGGTGACGTCTCCACATGAGTGAAATATTCTCAAATGGGACGTAAAACAACATACAATCAATCAAACATCTTCTCTTCCTAGGCTATAAATAAATAAATAAATATAGCTGCAAACAAACTAAATGTATGGTTATGATAAACAAGAAAGCTTCTCTCAAATTGTGGACTCTGGGTGACAGGGTTGGGGATTTTAGTGTTATGGTGTGGCTCTCTTGATCATATAATGAAAATGAATTATTTCTTTGAAAATCTCCTCTGTTCCTTGTTCTTTCTTCGTCGCAAACCATGGGTTTTGAGTCCGCAAGCTTTGATAGAGAGAATTGATGTGAATCACCCATGGGTTACCGATGATGGTACACCTTCCCCTCTCTAGATCTGTTCATGATTCAAGATGATTGTCTAATTGACAGACGAATTGAACAAAGAATGTTTTAGTACGATTCTCAGTTAACCTTAGACTTTCAGTAGGGCCTGACTTTTTCGACACTACATAAGTAATGTCTCTCAAATGGCGAATAGATACTCATTGGTTAAGAAATGAATAACATCAGCAACTTTAAATTGTTGTTGACAACGGTGAGACTACTTAAGCCCCACGTCTTTGTCATACGAAACGCTATCATTGGATCATTGATGCACTCATTGACATTCGCTGGAATGTATATTTCAACAGTGAATGAAAGGCTGCATGTGTAAATTTCAGATGCTAATTATGTTACCTCGAGAATACCATGCCTCACTGAAAGTCCAAGGTTAACAGAGAATTGTACTAATTATGCAAGAATTTTTAATGTAGATAACAAAATATTCTTTCATACTTTTCGTTGGACACTTGGCTAGCAAAGATGTATAAACAGTGGTAAATACAGACGAGGAAATAGGTCTGCTTGACATAATTTTTAACTGAGTTTTTGACTACTCTGTAGATCCCTGACCATTATATTTCTATATACAGTGTATGTGCACACTTTTTATACACATTGGCTATCAATGTAAATACAAGGACTGACTGTCTAGATTGTTGGGTATGCCAGAACATTAAATTACTGTTGGAAATGTTGGATAATATGCACAATTTACACAAGTATAATTTATTTAGAAATTTTCCAACAGTTTCAACTGTTTTTAAAGTAATATACGCTATAACGTGCGCCATTTTAAA